TTTTGTAGTTATTTGGAATGGAATTTCTTTTTCCATTATTGCTTATTAGATTTTTGTTTTTATTTTACTATTAACCAGTACTTTAGTTTCTATTTTGTTTTAAGGAAAAGATTTTAGTTCAACATCAGGGGAAAAAACTTGGGAGTCTTTTGTGTTAACTCATAAGGAAATCTAATTTGGTTAGATTTATTATTTACTTATGTTTATTATTTAATTTTGAATAAACACCTATGTGTAGCATGTACCAAGGTGTAGACATCTTTTATAGACTGCTCATTTGGTGAACACTATTCTTAACATTTGGAATTAATTACTTAGTGTATTTGCATATCCCATCTCACAACTTTTTTTTTCCAATTGGATTAAAATTAGTATCTTCAGAGTAAATTCATTTGTGTCACACTGGTTATCCAATTACAAAGTCTGTTGCTGCCTATGTTTTAAGGTATGGATTAGATAATTATCAGTCTCTAATCTTGCTCAGGTGGAATTAGAAATAATTGGAATTGAAGTGGAAAATTCATTGGAATAATATTTTTTTAAAAAGTAAATGGATTAGACATATATATATATATATATGCATATGTGTGTATGTGTGTGAAAAGGTTTTCAGATTTCTACCTTCTATAGTATTTTAAAATATTTAGTTTTTAAATTCTCAATTACTTGAATTTCTGTTATTTTAATATTTTATTCCATTTACACATAAAAACAATTTTTGCATTCATTTTTTAAAATGGTGACTTCCAAATTCCCTCCCTCCCCCATTTGTTCCTCAATGGGAAGAAGGCAAGAAAATATGCATATCATATTTCCATATTAGTAATCTGAAAAACAATAACACAGACCAAAAAAAAAACCAAACTGGAAGAAAAATGAAGTTTAAAGAAGTATGCTTTGATCTATATTCAGATTCCCTTAGTTCTTTCTCTGGAGGTGAATAGCATTTCTAATCATAAGTTCTTGGGATTTGTCTTAGATCATTTTATTGCTGAAAATAGATGAGTCATTCATAGTTGATCATCATACAATATTGCAGTTACTGTGGGACAGTGTTGCTCCACTTCTGCTCACTTCACTTTGCAACAGTTTATGTAAGTCTTCTCTTCCCAAAATGCTATTAAACTGTACATACCCTTTCATCCAGTAATAGTGCTCCCATTGAAAACTTCACAACGATCTCTCTCATGCCAACAGAGCATACCCTGGATAAAATGGACCAATCCAGTTACAAAGAGAATGAACAAAAAATAGCTCTGTAAGCAAGCAGAAGTAGCAGGAGTAAGTTCAGAAATTCTGCAAAAAAACATCTTAAGTAGATACAAAATTTGCTGAAGATAAAAAATGACAAAAGCTTGGATGCCTTCCTAATTAAAAATGGCATTGGGATAAGTTGGGAAACTATCAAGAACACAGAAAAGCCTCATGAGCAATGCATTGGTATTGAAGGTAGATTGGAGTGATGGAGAAGGATAGACACTGAGACCTTCCCAATGATATTTAGATTCTCTGTGTCACTAACCTTCCCCAGGGTTTTAGAACTAATTCTGGGGGTAACTTCTCTCTGCAGCTCAGGGAGGGGATTCATCCCACTGGAAGACAGTTGCTCTTCCTCACACTAAACAGAGAAAGACATGCAAATTGGGCTCCTCCCTCTAGGGATGAAAACCAGCAAAAACCTGTCTGCAGTTCTGGGAGAGGAGCTTTTCTTCTGTGTGTCCTTTCTCTCCTAAGGACTGACACTGTAGAGCCTGAACAATGGGTTTTGGACTGAATGGAACTTTCATTCTGATTATTTTACAAGGTAGTTTTGTCTTTTGTTTGTTTTTAGATCAAGGATACACTCTTTGAAGTAGTGTATTTATGTGACTATTGTCTTCAGTGACTCTTTGTTTGCAGGTGTCCATTGTGATGTTCAGCTGGTAGAGTGTGGGGGTGATGTGAGACAGCCTGGAGGATATCTTAGCCTTTCCTGCAAAGCTTCTGGATTCACTTAAGGTAGCTATAATATGGACTGGGTCCCCCAGGCTTCAGGGAGGGGGCTGGAGTGTCTCGCATATATTAATAGTAATGGAGGAACCACATACTATACAGACTCTGTGAAAGGCTGATTCACATCTCCAGGGACAACAGCAACCATGTGCTGCACCTGCAAATGAATTCCCTTAAAACTGAGGATATAGCCATGTATTCCTGTGCAAGAGACACAGTGAAAAAAAGGAATATGAGACCGGACATAAACCCCTTCATTCAGACAGACCACCTGGAAAATGACTTAGAGAGGGAAGTCAAGAGCAATGAGCACAAGAGGACCACTTAGAATAAGAGCTGAAGCATGAGGCTGAACATTTTTCAAGGTCTTTGGTTTCTTCCCAATTCACAGTGAACATCTATCCCATACATCCATCTATCTATCTATCTATCTATCTATCTATCTATCTATCTATCTATCTATCTATCTATCTATCCAATCTCCTTTGTGTCCCTGAGAATCTTTCCCATTTCTGTTGCCTGCAGGTATAGAGATAAGATATATTCTTTTAATAATTTCTATGTTTTGTCCATGGTGAATAATTTCTCTGTAGTTGTCAAACATGATGGAGATCAGGAATTATGAAACATTTTTTATGCATCCTATAGCATTTTTGTATACACTGTGCATGTGGAAAACATATCTACCTGTAGACACACTTCATATGTATGCAAATATATATTTATATATCTATATTGTGTATATGATCTTCCCAATGTGTATGTATACAGATCTATATGTATACATATATATCCCATGTGTATTCATACACATATCAGAGGATCATGACACTGTAATTGGAGGGAATCTGAAACTTCTTTTCAATCAGACCTCTCAGAATATCAAAATTATAGTCATCTCACTTGATAAATGATAGTTTTTGTTTTGACTGGATATATCTGGGTGTGCCTCAAATCCCTGATCTGTGAAGTCCAAATAACCTTACCTTCTCTGTAGCACTAATTGGAAGAGATATTGAGGTCCATAAAGATAAAATCCTTTAGAAATGTCCTTAGGAATCTGTGAAAACAAGGTCTTCCCTTGAAGAATATCTTCTTCAGGTATTTTCTAGTGAATCACTGAGCGCTTAATGATATCCAAGATGTCTCTTTGTCTCTCAATTCCCCAGCCTTTTTTTTCCCTTCCCTTTTGCTATGTGCTGAATATCCGGCTATTCTCCAATTTTCCGATCTAAAGATACAAATTCCAAGATGCAAAATAGACCTCTTAGGTATTACTGCAACTAGGGATTGAGACCCTTGAGTTGGATAAAATACTGACAGGTTAGTAAAAGGGAATTCAAGGGGAGACAGCATGTTTATTATAAAGCTTGGCATATGGTCAGAGATTATTACATGCTTTTCTATTCGATTCTTTTGCACTGTATGGAGGAAGATAAACTGATATGGGGAAATTCGGGAAGCAAAAGAGGAGAGTTGAGGAGGAACACTTCAACAAAGGTGTGTGAACCCCCCAAAAAGAACCCCAACTTGAAACAGTCAGCTCTAAGAAAGAGACAAACAAAATTGAGGTGTGTGTGTCCATAGCTTAATTTCTCTCAAGCAGGTTTGACATGCATTGCATGGGAGTTTGGTCCAAAACCTGGTCCCCCAGCCAGTTCAGAACTGGCTTGAATTGGATTTTGGGGGTATAGCCTTATATGCCCTTTGAAGAGTAGGTGTTCCCTAGGGATGACAATCAACTTTGGGAGGTGGGCCATATTAAAATGAGGTCATTTTGGGTATGTGGCAAAGATCACTTAATCCTGGTGAAGGAGACATCAATTTGCATATCATCTGTCTTGACAATGGGGAGGAATCAACATTCTCCCAGACCTGTCTAGGCAACATAATGAGCAGGAATAGACTTATTTAGATGACATCTTAATGTCCTTCTGAACTTTGAAAGAAAGGGGAATGGGAAAGCTCTGAGTTTCCAAGATAATGATTACTAGGAAAAATAATTTTTCACATTCCCCCATCTGATTCTAATGAGAGGTATAGCCTTCTCAATGAATCACTAACTGATATGGTCAACACTTCATCAAGGGGTTTTGGGGACTTAAAACAACATGGGAGAGGTGTGGGAGAACAGCATTGACAATTCAAAAAGGTAAGTAAGTACCCCTTAGTAAGTATAGATACAGAGACCCAAAGGGAAAAAAGTAACAATAAATTTTCCATTTAAGGATTCAGAAGTTTCCTCTCATACAGATGTCTGGTGTTCAGAACATCATCTTAGGAAGTTTCCTGGCTGGAGTATTACCAAGCAATCTCCATCAGAGTGTACTTCTTGTAGAAAAAAATTCTCTTTCTTTGTTAAAAATCTCCTACAAAATTGATCATAACACAATTTTAAATTACCTTGCTAATAACGAGGTCAAATAATCCAAGTTAACTCAACCCTTATATTTCTAATATTATAAAATCAAAATTGATATCTTGACCAATTGTTATGTTTAAAAAACTTAAATAAAAACAGGAAAATTGGAACTCAGTTTTTATACTTCAGAACTTCACATTCATTCCCACATCAGGAAGATAAGATTCCACTAAGGAATTAAGAACAGAACACTGTTTATAAAAAGATGGACTCTAATACATACCTCATACATCGAGTGAACAATTTTAAAACTTCTGGTCATGTTCAAATAAATAATCCTTAATTAAAGTTAATGCTTTCTTTAAGGTATTTTCAAGAATACTTGATTTAACCAAATAATTTTAACTGAAACTTCCCTTTAAATATAGCCAAAACTTGGAAGTTTATGATTTCTTAAATTACAGTACTTCAAAAATATTACAATACATGGTCAGATAGAAAGACCTAACAGCTTCCTAACCCATTCATTTCTTTTTCCCTTTTTCTCTTTTTCTCTGACAGTACGATTCTTAATCTAATAACATCTATATTATAATAATTGCTTACCAATTTGCACAATTTAGAAATGGAACAATACCCTGCACATTATAATGTATTTAAAACTTGAAACAACCCATGATCAATTTAGTTAAATACATTTCTAAATCACCTTGTACAGAGAATCACTCATCTCATCATTAATTTGTTGAAACTACAACCTAAAACTACCTTATATATTTTCATAATAGCCAAGATTTCAAATGAAAAAAATCTGCTCTCATAGTAAATATCAGCATTATTATTATTATTTGATTATAACCAAATATACTTCATTGAAAGTTAACAGTTTTCAAAAAGATTTTATCACATCCCTTTTCTATTAAAAAGTGCAATTCATATGCATCAAAATCCAGATTAAAATTTGAGAAATACAGTAGCAACCCAAATAATAAACTTCAGATGACATCAATTGCATTTTCAGATTAACACACAAAGAAACTATTGATCTTATAACTTTTGGTATTTTTAAACTACTTCTAAGTTATCAGCCAGATGGATTTACAAGTGAAATCTATAAACATTAAAGAACAACTAACTCCAATACAATATAAACTATTTGGGAAAACACACGAAGAACAGGTCTTACCAAATTTTTTTATACTACAAATATGGTGCTGATACCTAAATGGTATCATCTTTCAGAGAAAGAAAATTATAGACCAATTTCCCTAATGAATATAGATGCAAAAAAATTAAATAAGATATTAGCAAAGAGATTACAACAGTTTATCATGAGGTTAATATGCTATGATCGGGTGGGATTTATACCAGGAATGCAGGGCTTATTCAGTATTAGGAAAACTATCAGCAAAATTGACCATACCAAAAACAAAAGTAACAGAAATTGTATGGTTATCTCAATAGATGCTCAAAAAAAGCTTTTGACAAAATACAGCACCCACTCCTGTTGAAAACACTAGAAAGCATAGGAATAAATGGAATTTTCCTTAAAATGATAAGTAGCATCTATCTAAAACTATCATCCACATTATATGTAGTGGAGATAAGCTAGAAGCATCTCCAATAAGATCAGGGGTGAAACAAGGATGTCCATTATCACCACTCTTATTCAATATTGTGCTAGAAATGTTAGCATTAGCTATTAGAGAAGAAGAAGAAATTGAAGAAATTAGAATGGGCAAAGAAGAAACAAAGCCATCACTTTTTGCAGATGATATAGTGGTATATTTAGAGAATCCTAGAGAATAAAGTAAAAAAAAAAATTACTTGAAACAATAAACAAATTTAGCAAAGTTGAAGGATATAAAATAAATCCATACCAATCATCAACATTTCCATGTATTGCTAACAGAGCCCAGCAGGAAGAAATAGAAAGAGAAATTCTATTTAAAATTGTTATAGACATTGTAAAATACTTGGGAATCTACCTGCCAAAACAAAACCAGGAACTATCTGAACGCAATTGCAAAACACTTTTCACACAAAATAAGTCATATCTAAATAATTGGAAAAGTATCAGCTGCTCATGGTCAAGCCAAACTAATATAATAAAATGACAATTCTACCTAAATTAATTATTCAGCACCATACCAATGAAACTATCAAAAATATTTTATAGAGCTAGAAAAAACAATAACAAAATTCATCTGGAAGAACAAAAAGTCTAGAATATCAAAGCAACTAATGAAAAAAATGCAAGGGAAGGTGGGCTACCTGTACCAGATCTTAAATTGTATAATAAAGCAGCAATCATCAAAACTATTTGATACTGGCTAAGAAATAGAGTTGTGGATCATTGGAATAGGTTAGGTAGGCAAGAAACAACAGTTAATGACTATACTAATCTACTATTTGATAAATCCAAAGACTCCAGCTCTTGGGACAAGAAATCACTATTTACCCAAAACTGTTGGGAAAACTGGAAAAATGTATGGCAGAAACTGGGCATAGACCAACATCTTACACCCTATATAGTATAAAATCAAAATAGGTACATGATTTAGACATAAAGATTGATACTATAAACAAAGTAGAAGA